CTACATATTTATAATATCTTATGTTTTATGTTGAAATGTAAAAATCAATTATCTCCTAATGTATTTATAAACCATTGTAATGTAAAACCCATAAATAAATACAATCTTTGTAATGGAAAAAATCTCCAAGAACCTTTCTGCAAAACTAAATTTGAACAGCTATTTATTTCTTATCGAATTATATGAAATAAAATTGTCTGATTTCGATTTGTCTTCAAAATGGACTTTAACTTCTTTCAAACGAAAAGTTATCTTTTTAACAGAAAATATTTTTACTCGTTTTTAGTTCTTTTACTTTATATATTTTCTCCAGTATATTTATATTTTAAATGCTCAGTTGTATAAAGTCCATGGTGGTTTATTTTTATTGGTTAACTTAATGTTTTCATTATAATTTATATTGATAATGTAAAGGGCTTTATGATAATATCGAATGATATTTGTAATATCTGAATTGAATTTTTTTTATTGAAGTAATATAAATATATACTTAAAAAAAAGAATTGTCTTTCACCCCGGCCACCATATACTGTAGTAAAATTATGCCGAGGGTCAAACAAAGTACTATAACTAAATTGAAGACTTGAAGTCATTTTTATTATATTTAGAGGTAAAACTGCTATCTAATATATCATAATTAACTAAATAGCAGAAGCTATTGAACCGGGGGAAATCGCCCCCTTAACTGATGGAACTGCTGAAACATCATTTATTGATATTGATCCAAACGAAACTCTTCCAGGTGTGAAAATCAAGCTACCTTATATATCTGAAACTAATTCGGGAAAATTTAAAATCTAACTCATTAGAAACCAGCTTAACGAATTATTAAAAAATAACAATTTTGATAAAAGTTATTTTTATGAGAACGGTTTGCGAAATAAGATTAATAAAGTGACAATAGTTGATATTTTTTATAAGAGAATCAAAGTTCTTGCTGCAAAGAAAAAGTTGATATTTAATAAAAGCAAAATTTAAGGACGTTTTTCCTATCAAAATGAAGAAATTTATTGTAAGTATGCCATCAAAATGAAGAAATTTATTGTAAATATGCCATCAAAATGAAGAAGAAGAATTTTAGGTATGCCATCAAAAGAATATATTTTTTTTTGGTAAGATTAAAATTATTTAAATTCCGATGACAAAAAATGGCGGAACATATTCTCACTCTTAAAAAAGTAATATTAGATTACGCTATTTACGGTTAGATTTTAATGTAAAACTAGTAATAACAGACGTTGCCCTTAACACAATTAACGAGTAATATACCTATTGAATAGTTTTTTGAAGATAAAGGGACACAATTCGTTGCTGTTTTAGATAAAATAGTAACTAAGTTTAGCGATGCTTTACCGAAAGTAAATTTTGTAACATAAAAAGCAGATTATAAAAGCAACACTGACGATGAGGGCAAGAATGATGAAAAAAACAAGATTGATGAAAAAGGCAAGCTAATGAAAAAGACAAGACTTGTGATAAAAGAAAGACTTATGATGGACCAGAAAAAAATAAAGGTTATCTTGACCATCTTTAAAGACAAACTCTTTAAAGTGGTTAGCCTTTATTGCTTTTAGGCTACAGACGACATTCCTATGATAGATAATATTTTTTATTGAATTTTCATTATAGCATCTAAAATTGTTGGACTTGTTGCTAAAAATGTAAAGATCCTTCTTATAGCCGCCGAAGCCTTAATCATCCGAGTTATTGATAGATATAACAACAAACAAAACAAAGTGTCTGATATAAAAGAATTTAAATTATAAAATGTCTGTTGCTATTGATACTACTACGCGTGGTGGATGGAATCTACTCAAACATTTTAATATTGCCATAAACGATAAACCAGACAAGTACAATGGTTATCCAAGTTTAGAGGCCTGTTAGAGGCTTAAGCAAATATAATTTTATCAATACAAGAATAAGCAGAATGAAAAATATATACCCCAACAAAAGGTCATGTTGCCCGATAATAATTGCTAATCTAGAAACTCCCGTGATATATGTTAACGTAAACTTTTCATTTCGCGTGGTATACAGAAGAATATTTCTTACTTACTTATATCCAGAAGTAATGCTTATATCCAGGAGTCAGAGCTTTATCAGATAGCATACGAGCGTAAACAATCTCATTAGCGCTTAGCTGGCAGTTAGGTCATCTATTGCTAGTAAAAAATCAGCAGCCACGGAAGCACAAAAATAGTTTGTAAATGCCCTTGAAGCTTATATTAAGCGCCATAAAATTTTTAGTAATGATATTAGCCGGTATCAAAACATCCTTTCAAACGCAAATTCAAATCTTGTCAATATTGCCCAGGTCTTTATTTATATACCGTCGGATTTAAGTTGTATAACCAATTCAACTAAAGAATACAGTAAAAAAACCTTTGAAAGCTACTGCAACAGATTTTGGTATTACAAGTTTAAACAAAGTAAAAAAAAGGACCAGCGGATAGAACTAAAAAAGAGAAAGGACCAACAAATAGAGGGGAAATAAATTCGACAAAAACAAAACTTAAGGGTGAAACATCAACGGTGACGAAAGATGAATACGTTGACAGCAACAACCAAAGAGATGAGCTTACGACTCTTGTTGGAGCTAGTGGTATAACTATTGTAATTTATTATGCTCTTACATATTAAAGATGTGTAATTGTAACAAAATACAAAATATCTCAAACACATACAGTTTACTGGACCAGAAACTCCACCGTAACATACACATTAACGATTCCGTAAACAACATCAATCTATCAGAAATTACTCTGAAACGAATGATATGGTAAGGTGACCTAGGCTTTCCAAGTATTTCCATTGGTATTTTGGAATGTGAAAAATTGTCAAGCAACACAGCAATTTATTAATATCTCTGATAGGAATACTTGAAATTATGTCTTTGAAATTAAGGGAACGGGTACTTATCAAGTTTGGGAGCCTAATAACTGGAAAAAAGCAAAAAGTTCATTTTTACCTTTTTATGGGTAGTTTTTTTAAACTTTTTTTAAAAGCATAGCCTCACTTATCATCTTTTTTTTAATGTCAATATAAACTCCATCTTTAACTGCAAAACAGGTCTATCAATCCCAGAGGTGGCCAGCGCTATGAAGATAAAAGACAATTTCCGTTTTTGTTTTTTTTTATAGCCAGGACAATAACAGATAATTACATTCAAATTTTTTATCCATTTTCTTTATTGTTTCCCAGCTATTGAAAACAATCAAACATACCTAAAGTAAAACTACCCATAATAAGCGGTTTCATGTTGTGCAAACGTATTGTATTGATCCGTGTGGTTCGCAATGTACTATTAAATCGTGCGGTGGAAGGAAGTAAATGCATTATCAAGTTTTGCCTTCATTAGGCAAAACTTGACTGCCAATCAAGGTTTAAGAAGTGGTTATATCAAATGATAAATTAAGTTTTAATATGCCTTTCACGCGTATTTTAAAGCTTATTCTAAAGGGAACTTAACAGCTTCATAAGTTTTAAGCAATCTCAAATCCCTACATTGTTAAGTTAATACTTAACAATGTAGGGAATTGAGATTGTTAAAAGTTTTCTATACTTGTTTTCATTATGGGTACTTGTGGGTGTAAAAGATTTTCATAGATAATATATGAAAAAGTTTTTATACGATGGGATGTTTTTGGGATATTTATATACACACACACACACTCACACATATCTATATATGTATATATATATATATATATATATATATATATATATATATATATATATATATATATATATATATATATATATATATATATATATATATATATATATATACACACACACACACATATATATATATTATAAAAAATAAATATCTTTTGTTCTAACTTGAGCAGCCGTGAGCGCCGTAATAGCCGTTGAGCAGCCGTGGCGCAGTGGTAGCGCACTTGCCTCAGAAACAAAGGATCCGTGGTTCAAACCCCACCTCTGGGAAAGTCTTGTGACATTGGTTAGGAAGGAGGTTGAAATTTCAATTAAATGCTCATCTGGAGTGCTCTGTGATAAGACCGTAAAGACTTTTTTGGGCACCTAAATAAATAAAAAAAAATAAACTTTATTTACTTGTAAACATAATATGTTTGACATTTGTCTTTTAAAGTTACGTTCTAAATGTCTTTCAAACTTTTTTTAAACGTCTTTTAAACGTTGTTTACGTATGAATGTTTAGAAGACGTTTAATAGACATTTAAAGTACATTTAGAACGTAATTTAAAAACAAATGCCCGCTGGGTAGCTTAGTGTTTTCGAAAAAAGTTTGGATTTACCCATTGGGTGTATTATCCTTAATCGTTTGCCAGATTGTGATAAAAACATTAATACAGTAGTTGTCAAGAGGTAGTTAACTTACTCTAACAAATGTAACGTGTTGATGTTAAGGAAAAAGAAGACACAAAGGGACTTTGCGAGACCTTGAAAAAAGTTTTTTTTTCGGCAAAATGTAAAGATGTTTCATATGCATTGTCTTCTGAAATTAAAACTGATGTAAATGAGACTCTTTTTATGCTAGTCCTCTTAAAACATACCCATTAAAATCAAACAAAAAACGAAATGGGTGTTTGCTATAAAATAATATTATATTATTTTAGCAATAATAAACTCATATAAAACTAAACTTTTGTTTTTATTAAATTTTAAACCAAAACAATGTGTTTTTTGAAATGCTTTTGCTTTTACAGAAAACGTATTCAAAGTTACCCCATTTGTGGTGTAACTTAGAATGACTAATTAAATTAATATATTGAACAAAAAAATTTTATTTAAATATTATTTTGAAAGTTTAATATTTAACCTTACATGAATATGTAAGGTTAAATATTAAGCATACGTAATTAAATAAATATATTAGGTCATTCATGAGGAAAAAAAAGTTTATTTTATTTAATTCAAATTATCTTGTTTGTATTAGAAAAAAAAGTGATCAAATTACTTTTTAAGAAACTTTAGACTTTAGACTTTGAAGGTTCAATTTAGGTGTGAAACCCACTTCAATACCATGATTTTTTACGTAGATGCTTTAACTGTTAACACTATTTAGATATCTGATGGAAGACTGGTAATTAAATTGAATAACAATAAGTATAAAATACAAAACTTTTTTGGTTAGTCCTACATTTTAACTTAAGGCTTTTAAAGTATCTTTACCTTAAAGAGTTATTTAAAAAATGAAGCTTTTGATCGCTTTAGCAATCATTGGAGTCATTGCAGCTGAAACAGGTTTAACCTAGTTTATTAGTCTTATTTTTTGAATATCATAAACCAGATTATATTTTAACTTAAAAGTTGTAAAAATAACTCAAAACTAATTATGCATTACAATTTTAGTTCCAGCGAAACAAAAATCTCCCATTAATGAGGTAAGTGAAAAAAAAAAGATTTCAGTTCATTTTTATAATAATCAAACAAAGTATTAAGTTTGAGTACCTTATTTAAATATCTTTGATGTTTGATATTGAAGTTTAAAATAAACTTATTAAGTTTATGATGTAGAAATTGCTTTAATTTTCATTGAGTTATTCGTTTATTGAAAATTAGTTTTTTACAGATGCAAGGTTTCTTTGTTTATATGTGTGTTTCTTTGTTTATATGTGCTTGTGATGTGTTATGTTATGTATGTGTGTTTGTTGTACGTTATATACATTATGTGTGATAATTTATGTTGTGTGTGTGTGTGTGTGTGTGTGTGTGTGTGTGTGTGTGTGTGTGTGTGTGTGTGTGTGAAAATCTACAACAAAAACTACTTACCAGATCATTGCTAAGTCTGTAATGTGTGTTGGTAATGTCTTTTTTTTCCCTTTAATTTTTGCATTACCAGTCACTTATTTTTTTTAAGCTTAATTCAGATGTTTTACACTGTAAAGGTCAAACAAAAGTTTGACAGTTTTTTACTGACAACATGAACACAAGCACATACACACATTCAAAACAAAACAAACATTTTGATAATAAGTATTAACGTCTTTTTTGACGTGAATTAATCTTTTGACCTATAAACCACCAAAACCTTATAACTTAGATAAATTATAACTAGATAACATAGATTTAATGAAACGCTAACTGATGCAAGTATGTAATTTAAAGATATATTTATTTATAGTGTTTTCAAACTTTTTACGGATGTGTAACATCAACCACAACGTCATGGAAACAAAAAGCTAAGTGCTTTGTTGATGTCGGGAACTGTTTATACAATCTTTGCCCTTCTAAAGATGTAAGTCATTCATTTATATATATATATATATATATATATATATATATATATATATATATATATATATATATATATATATATATATATATACTTTTTATATTCTCAAGCATTCTATGCTTCAGATTATAAGTAGTTTCAAATACTTTTAAATATTGTAACTTTAAAAACAAGTAAATATTATTGTAAAAATATTTTTAAACGTCCCACATACATTTTAGTGTCTTAACAAAGCCAAAGAATGCTACATGAAGGCCGCTTCTTACGACGATTTTATGGCTTGCAACAATGACTTAAAAACTTGTTTTACTAAAGATTGTAAACTCTTTTTATGAGAAGTTTTTTGTTTAATTTTTATTGCAATTAAACTAAAATCAAAGCTTTTTGTTTTAATTCGCCAAATAGTTTATGTCAGTTTCAAAAAACATATCTAATTAAACAAACCAATGACATATAAACAGATTATTAAAACGTCCTCTTATTAAGCCCTTGAACAAAATAAGCAGGGCTGTCGACACCGCGAGAGAGGGGGCCAGGAAGCTCGTGCCCTTCTCCTTCACACACTTTTTTCTACAGGATCTTTTTTTTTAAAAAAAATTCTAAATAAAAAAGTCTTTTTTTAAGTGCACTCCTTCCCCCCCTCCTTCCCACTTTGAAACCTGTGTCGTCGGTGATAAGGTTTTCCAGGTAACATTTTTATGTTTTTAGCTTTTTCCTAATGCTTTCAATATATCTTTTAAACAATTTCAAATTTAATTGATATGAAGCAACCAAGTTTCATAAATGTTTGCGGGGAAAAGTGACAATTAGTGATATAATATAAAAGAAAAATATTTCTTTTACAGAAACTTATTTAAATAAATTGAAAAATAAAAATTAAAAAAAAAAAAAAACTAGTTATAAGAAAATACTTCTGAATGCAAAAACTCGATAGAATACGCCTCAATGCAAAAAATTTTTTGCATTGAGGCGTATTCCATCATTAAAATAATCCGCCTCATTAAAAATTTTTTTTTGCATTGAGGCAAATACGCCTTAATGCAAAAATTTTTTTTTAAAACACTTGAAATATTATATATATAAAGTTAAAGTTTAAACCTAAATGGTTTTTTGTAACGTTACATAAGGTTCTTGACGATATCACCATGTTACGGGTAGTTTCATTACAGTAAATTTTATACTTATAAGTATTTTATATTTTATATTTTTACATTACAGAATATTTTACACTTATAACGTATACGTTAATAAATATAAACGTTTGTTTAAGATAATGACATATCGATACCTTAATATGCAAATTGGGTAACCCCTTTTTTTGACAAAATGACTTGATGATGGCATCCCAGTGGGAAAAAAGACGTCGAAAAGACGTCTTTTAAAGTCTTATTTACGATGTCTTTAAGACGTCTTGTTTTAATCAATTATGCAAATCTAAAAGACATCTTTTTTCGACATCAAAAACACGTCTTTTTTATCTCAATCTTGTCATGAAAAGACATAAAAAATGCGCCTTTAAGACGCCTTTTTTTTGTCGAATATGCAAATCTAAAAAAGTGTTTTTTCTCGGGGTCGGAACGACTTTTTTGCGATACTTATTACTATACTATAGTATCCTATACACTATAGTATTCCTACTTTTCTTATATGAAAAGCTATTTTTTTCAAATGAAAATGATAATAGCTCTTCATACAAAGTATGACAAAAAGCTTTTTCCGATACCGAGAAAAAAACCTCTTTTAGATGTCAATATAAAAAAGGAAGCATTTTCTACATCTTTTATATATTTAAATATAGGAGAATAATTTATAAATAAAACAATAGTATTGTTCAACAGAATATTTTTTCATCTTTTTTTTTTTTTTTTTGTTTCTTGAGCGAGCTCTGTTTCTTGGCGTTGTTGAATAAAATTAACAATTTCACGTCGAGAAATCTTTTCATACGAGCAGGTTACGACTTCTAGCTGGTTACCACTTCTAAAAAACGAGTGAACATAAAAAACAGTCTATTGCGTAAATGTAATACAAAAAAAGCAAACAAAACTTGATTAGCTGAGTGAAGCACATTATACTTACCGACTATTAATATAAATAATGACAGACAACAGTTAACAAGGAAATAACATATTTAACATAAAAGTTGAAGAATTTATCTTTTGTATAAACAATTTCATCATTCAACTAAATAAAAACAACAAAATTATTCAGACTATTTAAAAATAAATAAATAAAAAATTGCAAGCCTACTTCCTGCCCTCTAATAAATTACATAAAAACTTTTAATCGAAAAACAATTAAAGTTAGATACAGTTGCACAAAAAGTTTTTAAAGAGTTATAAAAGGTCACAATAATGCTTTGTTAATCATAAAAGAAATCCTAAATGAAAAAAAGACAGAAAACTCTATTTTAAAACAAAAAACCCATTGTCCAATGAAGGGAAATTGTTTATCAAGAATGTACCTGATAAGCAATATACTAGCTCAACAGAGAGTGAATGAAAAAATTGTTTTGACAATCGTAAGCAATCCATTAAAAATAAAAAGTATTCAAAAGAAACCATGCTGTTAAAATACGTATGGAAATTAAACGATAAAAATATTGATGATTTTATGTTAAATTGGTTCATCCTTAAACCAGCACCTGCATATAAAAATATTTCCAAAATTAAGGTAATTTTAAAAATTTATTTACTAAAAACCTAAAGCTATTTTTCTTTGTAACCTATTGAGCTTTGTAGTCAAAAGTAGTTGGCTGAATCGTATACATAATTGATTTCTCTATTTTTCAGAATCTTTGTACCAAGTTTTCAAATTTAAGTGTCATAGAATCAAAAATCAATCAACAATAACAGTCGATTATTTTTTGAATCTATTGACACTTAAGCACACGTATATACAATTAAAATCGTAATAGAGTTGTCTAAATAAAATAATTTATTATAAGTAAATAAGCTTTTATAAGTGGAAATTGTTTATCAAAAGGCGTGGTATAAATTGTGCTATGTAACTCAATCGAAAAGCATACAACCTTAATATTAAAACTGTGTCTGGCAACAATACATACTTATACATATGTGTATGTACCTTTTTTATACAGTAAGTAATACATTATAACAATATGTTAAGTATGGATCTTATATATATAATACTGTATCTTTTTATTTATGGTGATTTTGGTTGTTGCTTCAACTTTTTTTCGATATAAAATATATTTCTGTTCTTACAACTATGCCCTAAATTTTAATGTTTACTTTTCTTTTTAATTATATATTGCGATTATAAAAAGAAAAAAAAACGCACTCGATTATATCAGGGTATAGTGATATATGACCTTTTCCCTGGTATAATTAAGTGTGCCTAATTCCTTCTTATGCATATGAGCAGAGGTATATTTTTTTGTAGAAAAAAAAATGAAGCAACGACCAAAAAATTACCATATATAAAAGAAACATCGTTGTTAAATTTGAAAAAAAAATTTCCAATTCCTACGGTTAGAAGTTGAGTAAATTGATTTTGAAAAAATAAACAAATTACTGACTCATACTAAAATAGCATTCAAGAAAACTGAAGATTTATCACGCCAAGATCATTTTTAGCTTGTTTTACTTTTTTAATTTTGAAACTAAGTTGTAAATTTACTAATTTACTTTAATTATAAAATAAAAATAGAAAGTTTTCATTATCTAACCAACAACAAAAAGGTTGTCATATAAAATGTTCGATGTAGTCAAGGACCGCAACCATTTTAAAAGTTCTAAACTTTTTAAAATTAATTGACGCATGCGTACCTAAACAGCGCATTTTCCTAATATCGAAACGACCGTAAAACTAATCAAAATTTTAATCTATATCTATAATATGAATTTAATCACTCATCGTCTTCCCATGAGCTGTTGAAGTGATTGCGATAATAATGACAATTGTATTTAAATAATGACAAATGACTCTATGTGTTTGCTGTAAAGCACATTTTATAATCCACTAGGGATCGAATAACGACTGTTAAATTAATATACAAATTGTTGATATTTGTAAATAATTAGATTTTCAGTCAAATGGTAATACAATAATAAAACGTTGGTAAATTTTTAATTAATTTCCCACAAAGCAAATATGCCATTTTTATACCACATTTTAGATGTAAATATCTTTAAAATCTGCTCGTATAAACTTAATTTTTTTTTTAAATTGACATCATTTTGGTCTCAAAACCTCCCTCCCAATTGTCAATTCTAGTCAAACTTTTTATAACCCTCCCCCCCCCCTCCAAATATTTACTGACATCATTTGTGGATAGCCCCAAAGATCAATTTCAGGATTTTTGATTGTAACCTCCAGATATGTATTTTTCACTAATACAAATAATATAAAACGTCATGGTGATCAGAGTTTAGCAACAATATTGGCCCCACAGTCCAAATATTTTTAGGGGAGGGGGCACTTAAAAAAAACAATAGCACTTAAAAAAAACTCTACCATTGTGAACTCGACTAAAATTCATCGGTAAAAATATCATTTAGTAAAAATCTATATTTAACATTTTAAAGTTATTTGTAAAGTTAACAACCCCCTTCAATTAGAGAAGGTTTCAAACTTACCTTGGTAATAAACTTTCCTACCATTGTAATTTTTTGTAAAACATTCTTATTTGATACCAGGATCAATATTGCAAAATTTAAAGTTTGCACCATTATTTTAAGTTACCTTGAACACTAAATAACCTGCCCGTTGAATCCCTTTTTTTTAAAAAGACGTCGACAAAATATTTTTAAAATTTAGTTAATAGTTGTTCAAAACATCATGGTTTCGAAAATATATACCGTTTCTGGTGAACATTTTTTTTTTCAAATAAATTATTTCCTCTAGGATGCGTCCTACAATATTCGTTTTTTACCCAGATACTCACCTATTAATTAAAAAAAAAAAAGTCCTGGTTTTTAAAATTTGCCGACTGTCGACTGACTGTCTAAATTTACCGACTAACTTGTCTAATAAGTCAAGTTTGGCGACTTAATGAACGAAAAAATTATTGATGGGGAAGGGATGTGTTGCACACATCCCTATCGCGCCGGACCTGTGTATATTTATATATATTGGATTACACTATTTGTTATACATTAAATTTAGTTTAACTGGAATATGTCAAATATTTGTTATTACTAATTGTTTAAGCGATTCATAGCATGCATTATAAAATTGATATATATTTTTAAAACCACCATATTTAATGCAAAAACCGCCAGATTAAATTAATAAAACTACCAGATTCGAGCAAAAAACCACCAGGTTAAATGCAAAAACCGGTATTTTTTATAAGCGCGAACTGGCATAAGTGCGCTGAACAAATTTGCAAACATTGGCATAAGTACGAACTGGCCTAAGTGCGAATTGACATAAGTGCACCGATTAAAATTGTAAATATTAGCATAAGTGCAAATTGGTATTTCGCCAATGTTTGCAAAGTTATTCGGCGCACTTTTTCCAGTTCGTATTTATGCCGATTCGCACTTATGCCAGTTTTTGCAACTGCTTCACACTTATACTAGATTGTACTTATTCCAATTATACTTATTCGCAGTTATGCCAATGTTTGTAAATTTGTTCGGCGCACTTATGCCAATTCGCACTTATACCAGTTTGTACTTATGCCAGTTTTTGCAACTGCTTCGCACTTATGCCAATTCGCATTAATGTTAGTTCGGTAAAATGCGAACTGCGAACCGCGAACTGCGAACCGGTAAAATGCGAACTTTTTTGCGAGACATTATATTTTAATGACCACTTTTAAGATATTTTATTTTAATGACCACTACGTTTAAGATATTTAAAAAAATTTTTGCTCGTCAGTTTTTTAAATTAAATTAAATATAGTGTAGTTTGATATATATTATTTAAATTAGATTGTATTTCTTTTAAATGAAATATAATTTATGTTTCTGCTTAAGTCAACTTCAAACAATTTTTAATGAACAGTTTCAGCTAAAAAATATAGTAATAGAAAGGGCACACAGAATTGAAAAAGTTTATAATAATATGGATACCCCAAGAACTGTTATACTTAAACTGTTAAATTATAAAGATAAAGAACTAATCTTGAAAAATACAATGAAACTAAAAGGAAAAGGGATCTTTATAAACGAGGACTTTTCGGAAGAAACAAATAAAATACGACGTAATCTTATTGAGAAAATGAAGATTGCAAGAAATTCCGGAAAATATGCAGTTTTAGCATATGATAAACTGATTGTGAAGGAGTTAAATCGTATCAAACACTAAATAAGTATCTTTATTCTTTTTTCTTTATATTTAGTTTTTTTTATTATTTTTATTAATTTTTAAATGGAGGGCAACTTGCAATTAAAATATTCTCCTGAAAATTTAAGTCTCAGTGATAAAGATACATATACAAAATACTTTGATCAAATAACATATGAAAGTAATTACTACTCAATTTCCCAAACCGCAAAATATTTTCACCAAAACAAAGTCTCATTTTCAATATTAAATATTAATATACGAAGTCTTAACAAAAACTTTGAAAATTTTAAATTTTTACTTGACGAAATAAAACACGATTTCGGCATTATTTGTTTTACAGAGACTTAGTGTAAATGTGAAAAAAATCCACAATTTGAATTAAAAAATTATACATCCGTTCACCAACCGCGTAAAATTCATGCTGAAGGACGCGTAAGTGTTTATATCCACAATTCAATCGACTTTATTTTGCGTAGGGATCTTAGTGTGAATGAAATAGATTGTGAGTGGTATTGTGGTTTATCCTCCTCCATCTAGTTGCCATATAGAGGCCACATTACCACGGTACCGCAAAGACAGGTTCGGCTCCCCAAGGAGCGTCATAACCCGTTCTACGTACCGAGAGTAAAGTGAGTTTAGGAAGAACGAAGATATGTTAGAGTGAAAGACAGAAGTAGTCGTGTTAGAAAGACAGCATAGAGAAAGCGGACAGGATTGCACTCGATGTTAGGAGGTGCAATAAGTTGACATTGGGATTAAAAACACAATGACTAATGAATGTTTTTATTGCAAGTTAGGGTCAGGGTTAGGGTTAGGGTTAGGGTTAGGGTAACCCAAACCCTAACCCTAACCCTGATAGATTGTGAGTCATTATGCATAGAATTAGTTAATAAAAACTCTAAAAACATAATCATAAATACTATTTATAGACAACCAGGTGGGAATTTTAAAACTCATCTTAGCTCATTCTTAAACAAATTTAATAACGCACAAAAGCATGTTTACATAATTAGTGATATAAACATTAATTTGTTGAAGCATACTTCTAACAATAGTGTTAAACATTTTGTTGATACTCTACTTGAGCACAATTTCATTCCAACAATAGACCTTTTGCCAGATAACGACGTCATTATAACTACGCATTGCATTTTGGGATTGCCTGGGAGCAAACAAAAGTTAAATTCGTAAATATCCTGTTGTTTCTATTTAGTTTTTTAAAAGTTGACCATTATTATCTATTTGGTTTATAACTATTATTTTTTTTATTTGCAACACTCTTTTGTAATGGGTAAGAGCGATCATTGTGCAATTTTTGGTTGTAACAACGATCGTCGATACAAAGAAAAGTATGTTTTGAAAGATCATATTTATAAGACTTTTAGTTTCAGCGAATTAAAATTTTTTACTTGTAAAGAGAAATATTTTTCCACATGGAGTAAAATTATTAACAGAGAAATAGTCGATCCTTTAACAAAAAAAAGAAAGCTATATGCTGTAAATAAGAATACAAAAGTATGTGCAAATCATTTTGAGTATGGGAAGCCAACTGAGCTATCCCCTCATCCAAAGTTATATTTGAAAGGATACGAAATATCTTCTCCTCAAAATAAAAGAAAATTACCAATTCCTCGATATACACCTACTACAGTTTCTAAAAAACATAAAAATACACATTTTTCAAGTACCTGTACCACTACTAGTAGCAGTAACAATAATGACAATATTCCCCAACAGTCTTCTCTGTCAATATCTCCTCCATGTCTATCATCAACAGCATCTAATCAGCAACTTTCTCCACAACAAATCGATTTAATTACTAACACACCAGCAACTTATCTAACACCAACAACACTTTATAAACAAAGTAGTCATAAAAGATTAACATGGGAGGCAGTGCGTTCTTTACCCAAAGTCATAAAATTGTATACTGGGTGTCCCACTGAAAATGTTTTTTTATATATTGTTAGTCGTGTTCAAGCTAAACATAAAAAAGTGTCATATTTTATGGATTATAAACGTTCATTTGAACCAAAGCAATATCAGTTTAGTCCTGCTAGTAAACCTTCAAGTACAGGGAAACCTGGTCCAGCACGACAGCTTTTTGTTGAAGATGAAGTGTTACTTACTTTAATGCGTATTCGACTTGACTCACCATTACAAGATTTAGCATTTCGTTTTAAAATTTCAGTAAGTCATGTTTCTAGGATTTTAACTACATTTATAACTTTATTAGCCCGAGAACTTGAACCATTAATTTATTGGCCTGCTCCAGAAGAAACATTAAGTTTTACACATCCTCATTTTATTGGAGATTTCGTTTATGTTGAAGGTATTGGTGACTGTACTGAACAAACTATTCAAAAACCTGCTAATGCTAAAGCTCAATATCAAACATATAGTTCTTATAAAAGTAGAAACACATTAAAAAAACTTATATTTTGTACTAAAGGCGGTTCTATCTCTTTTGTTTCTAAAGGTTACTCTGGATCTTCCTCAGATCGTTTTATCACTGAAGATTGCAATGTTGCAAGAAGATTCACTCCTGGTTTTATTGCACTTTTTGATAAAGGTTTCAATGTTCAAGATTTATTTCTATCAAGGCAGGTAAAAGCTGTAATTCCACCATTTTTACGTAGTAAGCGACAGTTTACACCCTCTGAAGTGTATCATTGCAAGCGCATAGCACGTGCAAGAATACACATTGAACGTGTCATTGGAAGGCTGAAAGAATTTCGACTTCTAAAGAACACTTTGCCTATCACATTAGTCCCTCTAATCGATGATATATGGATAATTGCTGCTGCCATTGTTAACCTGCAACCACCTCTTGTAAAAGCAACAGCAGTATAAATTGTTGTTCTTTGATGTTATTTTTGAATGTTTTTTGAACTAGTTGTACCGTGTGCAGCCTGCAAAATCCTGGTTGTTACTTGGCGCTTCCCGGACCCTTCCTGAGACCTGTTCGAGAGTGGCAACCAACCACTGTTCATTTTTTTTTGAATAAAAGAACAGTGGTTGCCACTCTCGGGCTGGTCCCAAAAAAGGCCCAGGAGTGTCGAGCTCTCACCTAGATTTTGCATGCTGTTTTGTTTGCTCTTTAAATTTTGGTTATTATTGTGCTATTTTATGGAATTTGGTTAATTTTTTGTTACATATTTGCATTTTAATATCTTTGCAGCCTGCAAAATTCTAATCATCACTTGGCACTCCCCAGACCCTTTTCAAGACTTGTTTGAGAGAGGCAACAAGCCACTATTCATTTTTTTAAAAAAAGGAACAGTGGTTGATTGCTCCCCTTGAGCAGATCCCAAAAATGGTCCGGGCATGTCAAGTTCTGACCTGAATTTTGCAGGCAGGTGTTTGCTCTTAAATTTATAGTTATTATTGTGCTATTTTATGAAATTTTGGTAATTTTTTATTTATATTGGCATTTTAATATCTATGCAGCATGCAAAATCCTGATCATGACTAGGCAACCTCTCAGACCTTTTCCAAGGCCCATTTGACAGAGACAACCAACTACTGCTCATTTTTTCTAAAAAAAGAACAGCAATTGGTTGCCCCCCTCGAGTAGGTCTTGAAAACGGTCCGGAGGTGCCGAGTTCTGACCAGGATTTTGCTCTTAAACTTTGGTTATTATTGTACTATTTTATGAAGTTTGATTAATTTTTTATTTTATATTCCCATTTTAATATCTTTGCTTGCACAATTATGTATCATTAATTTTGAAAAACTGCAGTTTTATAGACAAAATAAGCTTTAATCTTCAGGTTATATTGTTACATAGATTTTCAGCTAAATTTGCCATTTGACAGCTGGTGTCAAATGGCAAATTTAGCATTTGACATCAATAGGATTTGACATCAATACAATGTACAATTTTATTACTTTTTATATATATTTTTAACAAACATTACTTTTTTTTATTTTTGCTTATTTGCCCGAGTATCTAACTTAGAATTTTCCGGATTTTAAAGAATATTTATATGATTGTCAGGGTTATTAGGGTATGTCAACTTTCATCTTTTTTTTAGTTTCTATATACGGTTTTTTATTCATTGTAAATATTATCTAAAGCAAGAAATTAATTTTAAATATATATCTATATTTAGTTACATTTTGTTACCAAGAACTTAGTATCAAGAACTTATATTTATTCCTAGTGACGGATGCTCGGTGTAGTAAAGGCACTCTTAAAAAATATTATAGGGTCTGTAAGATATTTTGTTGACTACGACATATTTCCGTTAAATGATCAGGTCTGTAAATTATGAATAGATTAAAGTGATATATTTCGCAGTATAATAAAATATAAATGTTTGTAGCGAAAAAACCCAGACTGAAAATTCTTTTTTTTTTTTTTTAAATCATTTTAAAATCACAATCGCTCATCCAAATTTGAATAAGATTTTAAATTAATACGTTTTTTAAGTGAAATGAACATTATAGTTTAACAATATAGTTTGTTCTGGTCGTTAATTGGCAATTTTCCATAATTATAAGCTCTTTCTTGGTCGGAATTCTAGTATTTTTTGTTAAAATTTATAGAAATATTGTGTTTTGACAACTATATATAGTTAATATACGTCAGAACCGATTAGAATTAGTAAATTAAGGACCTTTTTCAAAGGATTTTAACCAAATTCATGTTATTGCCGATGAGCAGAATTGATCTAAAGGCTCCAAAATAGTGTTCTTTAGATTCACTATTACTGGTAGTAAAAAGGTTTTGAAAATTATATTAAAAAAAAAGTCTCTTTAAATATTAGAAAATCTTAAGCAAAAAAAGTTAAACCGTCTAAAGTTTTTAAGCTAGTGAAACTAATAATTGGACAATTGGAAAATAAAGCTATAAATTGGACAATAAAGCTAATATTTGGACAATAAGCTATTAGAAGCTAATAAAATCACGCTAATTTCAAATAAAAGTATTCGAATAATTTGTAAATTGCCTTAACTACACCGAGTGTAGGAAGTTTGTGTGGGTGTGAACCCCACTTTTTTGATAAAAGACTTTTTTTTTTTCTTTTTTAAAAATTTTGATATGGAGGACTTTTTTTACAAGTTGATGATCATGACCCCCGTCCCTCCACTTCGAAATCCGTGTCGTCAGCCTTAAACTGTATATACCTTGGATCCGTCACTATTTAACCCAATAACTATAATCCTTGCTAACGCGAATACATTTTGCAGCTTCTAGTACTAGTATTTTTTTAACACTGAGGGGACCCTTGAGTTTAGGTCACAGTGCGATTGCACCTGCATAGTGCTGACTCAGCACTTTGCAGGTGCAATGCGTTTTCAGCACTGCTGAGGACGCGTATGTCATGTCTTATTTCCCTGAATCATTCAACTGCTTTCTCTTTGTTTTCTGAAACTCTTCACTGAAATAGTGGTGCTTACATCGTTGTTGGTAGTGAATTAGATTTAAAAAAATCAAACATGAAAATGTATAATTTTTGTTTATCATTAGTTGTTTATTTAGTTTAAATTTTATTTTTTTTAAATCATTTTATTTTATACTATTTATTTTGTTTTTTAAATATATTTATTTCTATTTTTTTTACAATTTGTTAAAGAAAAATATTAGATAAGTGGATAAGTGTTTTTTTCTAATTTATTATTGCTGTTTTTTAAGAACATTGAGCACTCTATTTGTAGAATAGAATAACATTATATATGTATATATATATATATATATATATATATATATATATATATATATATATATATATATATATATATATATATATATATATATATATATATATATATATTTATATGTATATATATATATATATATATATATATATATATACATATATATATTTATATATATACATATATATATATATATATATATATATATATATATATATATATATACATACATATTATTTTCTATTCTGTTTATTTTATATATATTACATATTTTTATTTTATTTTTAATTTTATTCTTTTTATTTTATTTTTTTCATTTAATTATTTTATATATATATATATATATATATATATATATATATATATATATATATATATATATATATATATATATATATATATATATATATATATATATATATATACATATATATATATATATATATATATATATATATATATATATATATATATATATATATATATATATACATACATATTATTTTCTATTCTGTTTATTTTATATATATTACATATTTTTATTTTATTTTTTATTTTATTCTTTTTATTTATTTATATTTTATTATATATATATATATATATATATATATATATATATATATATATATATATATATATATATATATATATATATATATATATATACTATTTTTATATAGTTTTCTACAGTTTTCTTTTACAAGATGGTGGTGAGTCTTTGGACAGCATTTGGTAATTATCTGATAATTGTTTTAGTTGTAATGCTGCTGTATTTTGCTTTTCTACCTTTTCAACTTGTGAAACAAGGCTTTGGATGACTTTACTGCAGGTGTAGGTGGTTCTCACAAAATTTATGTCATATAAATATGGAAGCATAACATCGTTAAAATATGTAACTAATTTTGGTAGGCACTTTAATAAGAAATTTGGATCTTTAGCAATACGAAATGTGCAAGATTCTTTGGGTAAATAAATTTCAAAGTCACAATAATTGGCACCTGTAACAAATATTTGGTGCTGAACTTGGGTGTAATAAGGGTGATTAAGTTTGATTGCAAAACTTTCATTACTTTTTACTATAAAACAAGAAGACATTGAAAGGTATTCTGAAATAGTTTTATCTCTTGCTGAAAAAGGACATTTGCATTCTAACAAACCAAATCCACAACAAGTACAATTTATAATTCTATCAGGACTTGCACCCAGAAATGGATACTCAGAACATATTGTCAAGCCTGCTATGTCACAACTAAAATTTTTATGTACATTTTTGTTTTTTCTAACATAACGTTTGACAGCAAATTCTTCATTGCTTCGTCCCCATGATAGCGCACTACTGGAAATAGTTTCAATTTGTTCACAAATCTTTGCACATAAATTAAAAGAGGATGTTGGGTTTGTAATTGTTTGCCTATCACTAACTTTCTGAATTACCTCATGGGATACTGATGATGTAATAACACCATTTCTATATTTAAACCAATTAATAGAATATGACTGGTCTGTTGTTATACTGCAAATTTTTTTTATATCAGAATTTGTTCGATAGGTTTTTAATTTATAGTGAAACAAATTCATATCGGTTATACAAACTATTTCATCAATTGTTTTAGGATATTCTGTAGCAATTGTAAAATCAATATCTAACTTATAAAAACTTGTTTTTTTAAACTGCAAAACACTTGCATTACCGTTGGTAGCTTTAGCAATATTCTCCCAGTCTTCAGTTGAATATGTGACATTAATGTCTGTTCGTGATCGAGGTTCATATAAGTTTCTACTTGGACCAGGTTCAACATCATCATTTTCAGGATGTGGTCGCCTAAAAATAACTGAATTTATTTTACATGGTTCATGTATTTTTTGGCGCTTTTCAACTCGTACATCCCATTGTTGTTTTTTGCCAGTACATGTTTTATTATGGCCTAACCTGACTTCATTCTCAATATAATGCAATAAACTAAAGACATGCTTACAAGATGAACTGAAACCTGCAATACACGAACACTCAGCAGTAAAAACATATTCTGAACCATAAAAACATACCCAAACTAAATATGGATTTTCGTTTATTCTTGTCTGAGGAACAACAGTAGCTCTAACGTAACAATACCGAATACTGTCAACAATGTTATTAAAGGCGACATCTTTAACATGCCCAGAATATTGCAAGTTTTTTCCTTCTCTAA